TGGGTGCCTTAAGGCTTTTACTACTTCATTTTCATGGTAATGAAGATTACCGCGTAGGTTGAGTGTTACATGAACATCTGCAGGGGTAAATTTGACTTGCTAACATGATGCCATCCCCAGAACAAGGCACCCCAGGTCATTGTCCCCAGGCTTGGGTGAGATCACGTTTTTTCTTCCTGGAGTTTGAGGATTTAACTTCTTTGTTTCCTTTTATTATTTAATCTCAGAAGCCGTTTGGGTTTGTTTTATCATTAAAATCATTTTGGTTTGAGGGTAGAAAACATCGACTGCTGGAAATCCTCTTGTTTCAGGCTCACCTGATAATGAGTCCTGCTCTGGTCCACCTTTACATACTACATGACACAAAATGTTGTGCAGACACTAAAGCTAGAATATTAACTTAAAACACTTTGTTACATGCTGGAATAAATCGAAGCAAACAAAGCAAGAACCCATCAGTGTGTTTGCGTCATAAGTCTCCTCTGGTTGAATTGTGTGTTGATACTATAGATTAGGATCTTTGTCTCCTGCATGTGTTTTACTCTTTCATTTAATCTTAGCAAATATTGATCTGGGAATGGGGCTCCTTTTTTTTTATCTCAGATTCAGAGCTACATCTGCTCAGAAACTCTACCTTTCTTCTAGTCTTGTAAAACATGAAGTCACTTTCTCTATGCCGAGCTTCAGTCCAAGATAAAGAATGGAATTGGTATGCTGGGATCTGGATTTTCCAACCAGTTTCTCATCCTCCTTCTGTCAAAATCCAGGGAAAGTGGTACAGAAGCCGGATGGTATTCAAGTGATGTCCTTGGTTGCCCATTAAAAACACAAGAGTCAAAACAAAATGAAATGGCTTCATGGGACAGCTCTGCCAGAACCCTCACGCAAATGATCTGCTGTTGGCACACACACCACCACATGACCATGAATACACTCTTTAACACCCTCTCCTGACTCACACACAAGCACAACCGCACACACTCCAACACTAACCAAACTAACCAAATATGCTTATATACACATTCAAATAACACACAGCCCAATAAAACCCATGTTTGCATATAAGATCACACATGCAAACACACAAACACGCACACACACAGCCCCTCTTCTTGTGTTAAGTAGAGTGGGATCACTCCATTTGGCGTCCCACATAAAGCTGCTTGTTCAGTCATTATCTGGGAGAGCCTCTTCTCTCCTCTACAGGCGAGATGACCAGGTCACAGCTAAAAAAGCCACTTCTCCCTCCCTACTCCTCCTCAAACCCTCTTCCCCTACCCCCACCACCGCTCTATCACAAAGAGCAACCATTTGTTTCAGCCACTAAAATCAGAAAGAAATTGGACATTTGCAAACCAAATGAGGCTTGTATGGCAGGTTCTTGTACCCCATCCAAAGCGGAGGCTAATTGTGTGCTTGGCCACTCTAAACAAATGACCGGGATGAAGGGGAGGGAGAGACTCCTGAAGTGAATGAGGGGATGGGCATTTGTTAAGGAAATCAGGAGGCCAGTGAGCTCATGTGCCCTTGTTCACTGTCACTGGATGATGACTGATGCGGAGAAAGTATTACAGCACGTTCAGCCAGCTCAGAAACACAGGGCAACGGTGGCACGGCTCCGAAGATATCCTGTACATGTAAAACACACAGACTGGAAACAAAAACTCCTCCCCGCCTTTGTCCTCGCATCCTATTGTTTACTGTTTATTATTTGCATCATCTCAAGATAATTGGGTTGTACTCACAGGTCACAGCTATTTTTTAAATCATCAATAAACTCACATTTGGTCTGACATGTCATTAAAATAGGGATGTTAGTTTTTTCTTTTAGCATAGAATATTGAAATGATCTCTGAAAAAAACTCTCAGAGGCCTCAACTTCCATCCTTAATGTTCGGTAAAGAAATCAGAAATTGGAAATCAAATCAAATCATCTCTGCCTCATGTCTATGTCAGCATGTCCTGCTTCCTGTTGCTTCACACAGCTGCCGTTGCTGAGTATTTTGAGCATTGAATGAAGCTCTTGCTTGTACAATTTCCTTTTGTTGATTACATCCGCAAACTAGCAACTCTGGGGAAAAAGCTCAGGGTCTGATCCTCCAGAAAAACAAAGTTCCTACAGAAATTCTTGATTTTTTTTATTCTTCTTATCAAAAAGTTGTTAAATCATTCTGAAGGGGAACATGTGTTTTTTTCTACAACTAACTTTACCACCTTGATGTGTGAGAAGAACCTGCTTTCCGGTCGAAAATCTTTGCACTGCTTAGAAGTAATAAGGTGAAAAAAACAAGCATTAGAATGACAAGATAAAGAAAAAAACTAACCAAACAGATTGTGGGTGAGGAGATTGTTTTGCACTTTCATTGTGAACTCAGAAAGTACTGACCCAGAAATGACAATAAATACCTCCATTTTACAGGAACCTCTGGAGATGCAATGTACCATGTAACCATTGTCTCGGGTTCTGCATTCTGCTTTATTGTCAGTTGCTACTCTCTGGGGAGAAGTTCCTCAACAAGATGTTAGGTTTCAGTTTCAGGTATATTCATGTGGTTACAATCAACAGAGTAGCAACCGGGACTAAAAGAAACCCAGATGCAAGAGAATATTCAGGATACATCGTAGAGTTCAGTGTGGGTACCAGTTGTGAGGAAAGGAAAACATTTAATGACATTCTTTTAAATTGAGTATTTGTTTGTGGGTTTATGGCATTCTAGATCAGCAGCTGCATCATTGTAGCATCATAGACTATAAAAAACAAAAACAAACAGAGGAATTGTGATAAAAATGTTCCTATAAGTTCAGGTTTCGGAAAGTCTAAAGTGGAATTTTTTTCCTGAGACCCATACAGTCACACATGAGTAACTTGTATATTTAAAGTGTACACTCAGTATTTCTCCCTGCTGCATCATTTGACCTTATCTTAGTAAAACATTTGAACCTTTATTGGATGCGTGTTGCTCACAAAGAAGGGGTGCTTAACTTTCACCAGCTGCGAATGCAACCGAAAGCTTAACACTTTAATGGACTTCCATTACCAGGGTAATCTGATTGTTCGGCTCGAATTCTGCAGGTATGGATGAGAGGGGAAGGTCAAGACAAAAGTCTGCCTCTTATTAGACGCGAAACCGGTTCAAACACATTGCCAGTGCCACCCACTGAAGAGCACCTGTGTTGTGCATGAGCATGAGTGTGAGACCCGGGGGAAAAAGGCGCCGGTTGGTCAGGAGTCTCTCATATGGACTGGATCAGAGGCTCCAGATGTTAGAGTTCACAGGGTCAGGGGTTGAGTCCTGTAAACCAATCACGGGTCAGCATGGGGCTTGAAGGCGCCCCTTGTGAAGTGAGGAGTGCTTAGATGGGATAAGTGGAGTAGAGGAAACTCTTAACATCCCTTACGCCCCAAGTTTCAGCCACCTCACTAATCGTGACGTGGCCACTTCTTCCCTTCCTGGTTAGTCAGACCCCTAGATAAGAAGCCAATTTGGTTTTAGATAAAACAAGCACCAAGAAAAAAAGACAGCAATACAAGCCCAGGATGAGTTTAAGTTATGCGTGTGTCACCACTCAGCATTGACTGCACATGTTTGTTGCTGAAACTTGTGGTGTTAAGACGTATTGCTGAAGTCTGCTCAGAGGAGATAAAAAAGTACAACTTTCAACAGGAACATTATAGATTGCTATGTGTGAGGAATTTGGTTTACATTTAAGAGGGTGTTGACAGTCTTTGGTGACCATGCCTGTGGACATAAATACACGGTCATCCGATTTCTTTCTAATCATACTGAAACATCACATTAAACACCAGTCTAGTCATGAGGTTTGACTTTATAAATCAACTGTGAAATGTGGTAAGACCTAACATTTTACTCACAGCTGAGGTTTTGACTTCTTCTCCTCTGGAATAATTTAATTAACTGAGGCATTTGTATTAATCCTGCAAATGTAAAATAACCTTAATTCTGAACTCATAAATTTGTGAGTTCAGGCCTGTTTAGTATTGACATATTTCTGGTTAGTCTGTAAAAGTAATGGCACATTCCTTTCACCACATACAGGTTTTTTGGTCTTATGTGTAATGTAATCGAGACACTTATCTCCATCTTATGATCAAGTTGTGCACACACTTAGGTGGTTTTATCCTGTTATTCCTTACCTTCAAGCACTCACGTCACATACTGTAAGATTTATCAGTTTATCATGGCATGTTCCATGCTTCTTTGGGTGGAGATGGCATTCACACCAGGCCAAGACACATTTGTAAATGACTGACATTGGTACCCAGGACCTCAAAAGAATCACATTATAGTCGATTTGTCCCTGGAGTCCCTCTGCCAATTGTGAAAAACATGAGACTCCCTGGGCTATCTCTAGAGCTCAATTGGTGTAATGATTGTAGAAAAAAAGCAGCAATAAACTGCAAGATTTGAGCACAATTATTAGATTTCTTAAAGAGGAGTGGTACACAAAATTAGTTATACTGGATAAGTGTTTCTGATGGATTTAATCACACACAGAGAGAAGAAAATGTAAGGTGATTTGCCATGGCACTTATTTGGGGGGGGGGGGTACTTCAGTATAAATAAACAATATTTTTGTGTTTTCTGTTTGTGTGCAGCACTGATTCTCTTTTGGGTTTACTTGCATGTGCGTGTTCATGGGTGTTTTTGCACGCACACATCTTCAACCACTCTCCAGCTGAGCCCACGTTACTTTGATTGACAGGTTAGGCTTGCCTTTACACACCGCAATGCCCGCCCTGCGAGCTTGAGAAGTGGGAGCTTCTTACCACGCAGCGATTGGTCAGAATCAGCGTTTCTAAGAGAGGTCAACAGACTAGAGGAAGTTTACAGAACATCTATTGGTCAGTTCTTGAACGCACATTACCGTCCCCACGTGGATTGGTGGCTCTGATTGGTCAGAAGCCACTTTGGAGGCTGGCCTAGAGTTTCGGTTAGATGGAGAGCGTGAAACCGCGTGAGAAAGTTGCCATTGAGGGAAAAGCGGAGCGAGACAGCGGAGCGTTCGCGCCACGGTGGGAGTTTTTGTTATCAAAACTAACGTCATATTTCTTCCTTTTTTTGTGAAATCTCCTTTGGACGCAGGCGTTTATCCAAACGTATTGTGGAAATAAATATTTCTGGTTTTATTGACTGTTTAACCACCGACCAGCGACCACAGTGAGTCAAGTGGGAACTCCTCACTGCAATTAACTTTTGGGGATTTTTTTCCTGAGGCTTGAACTGAAAGCGGACAGTTTGAGGCTGTGCGTTGACGAAATACGGGTTTGTTACTTTATCGCCTTTGGGTTTATTCGACTCTTCCCTCGGAATACATCCAATTGTGACACACAGCGGAGTCTGGAGTGACTGAAGCGGCTACACAGTCTTCGCTTTCTCACCTGGTTTTTAGCCATCCGTACTCCTCGGCTGCCTCCGGCCAGCGAGTGACCGTTTGCCGGGCTTTTCCGGTTGATTCGTCGTCGTGCTGTCTCTGGAGCCAAACGGCGAACGGGAGGCAGCGAGGAGCGGGTGGGGGGTCGCGTTAAACGGGCGGTGAACCCGAGCTGAGCAGCAGTTTGTGTGTGAAATTAACGACAGTTGGTGTTTCGACTAGAAGCGGATGGATTCTGCTCCGTGATCGGGGGCTCCACTCACCCTCCCTGTGCTCCGTTTGATTCCTCGTTGGCGGGGTTTTAAGAAGGACACGGTTGCTTCCCCCCCTGAGATAACAATGTTTCCTCAGGGGCGACACCCGGTAAGTTACTTCCCATGCTGCATTAGCCGCAATTCACCTGCCCGAGACCTAGTCTTTACGGCCCCGGGGATATAGCCTCATTTTTTAACGGGCGCTTCTTGTAAATTCAGTTTAGTCATACTTAATGTTAGGAACTTCCCTCCTGTTGTTAATTGGAATCTGCATCTGCCCGGTATAGCAAAGGAGGGTTTGTCCTTTTGTTTGCTCAACAAGAGCATAGAATTTAAGTTATTGTCGTTACATGTGAGCCTGAACAGTATGAAAGTTGGTAATTCTATTTGTGTGTTAGACGCCCCATCAGGCTCCAGGTCAACCCTTCAAGTTCACCATCCCAGAGTCACTGGATCGCATCAAGGAGGAGTTCCAGTTTCTCCAGGCACAGTACCACAGGTGGATAACACAGACGCACTGTTCACATGGAGGGTTTTGTTATTATGGGCACATTTTCCCCATTGTCATCCAGCCACTAGCACTAAACCTCACCCTAACCACAGTCATCCACTCCTACATAGTGAACAAAACCCCAAGTCTGGCCTCAGACTAACCCATAAACCTGGATAAGCTTCACACACACACACACACACACACACACACACACATGAAAGCTTACACAAATGCAGCAGACATTGGTGTTAGCTCTTACACTGCGGTAGGTCTAAGTCTCAGTGATGGGTGAGAGCCAGGGGGTGGCGTGTGGAATCAGGGTTTCATAAATCACTCCTTATTTTCCCCTGCATGTGTAGTTGTGTACTGGCCCGGACACCTTTCGTGCAGTTATTTTTCTTTGCACTAGACATACACGCTGGTTATTTAATTATGTTTGCGCGTCGAGCTGGCCACAACAGGTGAAAACAGCAGGCCCGCGGACAAGAAGTGGTTCTATACCTCCCTACTCCCAAGGACAAAGAACTGGGTTTCAGAAAACCACACACATGCAGCGCACGCTTGTTTGCAAATCATTTTGTTTTGAATGAAAGTAAGCTCACATCACTTTGAAATGGTTGTGTTTACCTCTAAAGTAAATGGGGTTTTGTTTTGTTTTCAGCCTCAAACTAGAGTGTGAAAAGCTGGCCAGTGAAAAAACAGAGATGCAGAGACACTACGTCATGGTAAGAACATCGCCCCTGCAAAGTTCCACATGACATTGTGCAGTTAGGCTACTTAAGCGTCCTTGAGGAATATCATCCTGTACCCTTACCAGCTGCATATGTGAACTTTTATCTTTTCAAAGACTGATGAATGAATAATGTGGACACATTATTACTTTAATGAAGGAAGGGCATTGCACAGCAGCATGAAAGTAACCCCCCTGTAGATTGTACAAAGATGTTCAGCATTTTAATTCATATGTGCATTTTATATTAGCACTCTTTGTTTTTAATGATTGATGTGAGAGCGATTGAGGCAAAAGATACGTAAAGTATGTTTTACAATCAAGTAACAATGTATCTTTCACTGTAGTTTACACTTTTTGAATATGATAGTTTTGTGTGTTATTGGTCTGAAATTGTCCCCTTTGATCCCTTTGTTTTTCTAACCATATCGAATATGGATTGCCCAGGACAGTGTTTTCATGTACAGGCATCACTGTTGTAAAAGACTGTGTTGGCTGTAGCTGGGCTTCAGCAGCACCAGAACAGAAAGGTGTGCGATGTGAATACACACATGCTGCTGACAACAGTGCACAGACAACACAGCAGCTCTTAGCCAGTTATAGATTAGGCGGCATCCCAGCTTAGCAGCCTTAGCAGACAGTACAACACAACAGAAAGCATTATTTGTCACATCAACATTTCAGAAATGCTAGTTGAAATGGAAACTGTTGGTTATTATATGAATTTTAAAAGGCATTGGCTGTAAATGTGGCACTTAAAACCCCAAACACAACCACAGAACATGTGATACCTTTAGCTTTGGTATTCTCATATCAGTGAGCCGACGAGTGTGATTAGATTTCAATGTCTTTTTTCAGATATTTTGAGATGTGACTCAGAGAAGTGAAGGATTCAATTACCAACCTTATAAATGCTGTATTATTATTTTTTTGCCATAAAAGCCCCACTCAACATCCCATAATTTGTTCATTTTTGACATGGGCAAAACAACATTACATGAGAAACCATACACAAGTAAGAGACTTGGAGTGCATCAAGGCTTTTAGATCGCGCAGCAATAAAGTGAAGCCAAGCTAACTTTATTTATAAAGCACTTTAAAACCAGCAGCAGCTGACCAAAGTGCTGAACAAATAGTACACAAAACATTACATCTCATCAATGCAAAAATAAACACAGAGGACCATGTCCACTTCTGAACAGTAGGCAGACCCATTTGTCTATTTCCTGCTGCGTTGACACTCCTGTTCAGATAAAGGTTTGGGTTTCATGGGATGCTTTTTGCAGGTATTCTGATTTCTTTGCAAGAAACTCCCAGGAAGCTTTCTTTTCAAGGCTCCAGGTTCCTTTAACTCTGTTAAATGTCTGACTTTCTGTTCCCCTCAGTACTATGAGATGTCATATGGCCTCAACATCGAAATGCACAAACAGGTATGGCCGTTTATTTTTTTTTTCCCACTATCCATCCCCCTCTTTGTGGATCATCTTCTCTTTCTACACGTTTACTCATTGTAAGATTCTGGTGTGAGTTTGCGCCTGTTAATGTGTCCTAGTGTGTGGGTGTGTGTTTTCGCACAAATGTATTTGTGTGTTCTTTTATTTCTGTGTGTGTATGTGTTTAACTGTATGCCTGTGCGTGGATGTGTGTTTATTTGTGATCGATGAGGCTCTGTCTCCATTTCCCCAGTTAGGGCTGGCCGGCTGGGCCCAGAGGCAGAATGAATGGCTCTGTAGATTGATTGGTGCTGTCTGGGGGAGCGGCCTGCTTTATTACATTAGAGGGGCAGGGCTGGGGAGGGCCGAGGAATCGATCAATGTGAAGCCGTCAGAAGAGATGCAATGTAGCTCCCATTTTTAGAAGCTGGGAGGTTAAAGCAGATACAAACATGGAATGCAGAATAGCAAGCTCTTATGCAGACATGTATAGAGACTGGAAAGGGAACCTCTCTTTAACCGTTGGTGGTCTACACAAATTAGGTCAAGAACAGTTGTAAACTGTTCATACCAGTGACACACAAATATCAAAGGTTAAACATTCATATGCATGAATACATGCAGACACAGTGAAAAGCAAACATTCTTGCATTTTTGAGAGTCTTGACATGTTAGCGAGAAGGTGAAACTCGCCCACTTTCATCCACACATTTCCCCACAGGAATGGTGCAATGCTCTGAGCGTTAACTGGTAATTACCACAGCTATCGACCAGTCAGAACAGAGGAAATTGGAGGTGGATTGGCTTGGCTACTTCTTTGAGATACGGGGAGACTCCCTGCCTTCTTTTACTTGTCTCTGCTGTGGTGTTTTCTAATTTCTTCTTCTGTTATTTTCTTCCTCTCTCCTTTGCTCTCTGGCTTCTGCACTCGTCAGTAACAGCTATGGGATTTTTCTGTTCTTGCCTCACCCAGACCCTTACCCACCTCCTTTTTCATGTGGCTCCTCTTTCATTTTATGTCCACGTGAAGCTGCTGTTCTTTCATTGTGACGGAGATGCATCTTTTCCTATTGTCCACACACACATAAACAGACACACACTAAAGCTCCAGGGGAGGTCATTAGCTTGGGGCTGCAGTTGTCAGAGCAACAAGCTTCTGTGGGCGGGGGGTACGGCGGATACAGACTAACAACCCACCTCCCGCTGGGGAACTAAGGGTGGGGGGCATGTGCAGTTTGGCCGTAATGCTCCAATTATATTTGTAATGGGAAGCCTGTTCCCTCTTAGCCTGTGTGCGTGTATGTACGTACACGCTTTAAACTTTTCTCTTAACTTTTCATTTATACACCCCCCAATTAGTCATTGTGATGATTGATGCCCCACAAAGGCTGTACAGTGCAGCTTCTCTGAAGTTCTTTGATTGAAAACATGAATGACACGTTTTTGTTTTTCATTTATTTCCTGTGATATTCTGCAGTTACAATTTCTAATGAGATCTTGGTTATCACACAGCTTTGAATGCTTGTGGCTTTGTCTTGTTAGTACATCTGCTGCTTTCAACCTATAGTAGCTGGTCAAACTATTTTCAGACGTCCTAATCAGTTAGCCTTTATACAAAGCTAATTATAGGCTTACAACAGGATTGTGCAAATAGATGACAGGTATAATCAGCCTGAAATAGATCTTTATTTAAAGCTCTCTTGGCCGAAGTTGGCTGTCATTAGACTGAGTCTTGGTTCATTGAAGTTATGGAGTCGTTTGAGTATGTCGGTTCAATTAGGATTGAAGCATTGTACTCTGTCATAGAAAGACTTAATCATGCATTACCCTCACCGAATACTCCCATTTTGTATGAGTATGCATTTTTAAACTGGTACTCTAAAAGTATATATCATCTCAAGTCATTCTGAAAACAGTGGCAAGTTGTAACTCTTACTATTGCACATAATGGTCAGTCAAAACACCCCAAACAAAAGTATCACTTTATAATGGAAGGAAATGATTAAACATCCACTAATCGAAAATGATATGGATGGGGTGAATAGATAAGCGAAGTGTTCCATGATAGCACTGTGTAGGCTTGGAACTACTTTTCTTTTCCATGTTCACTTTTTTTTAAAAACAAGAAGTTAATTAAAATTGATTTTTTTTAAAGAACTTAAATGATAACCTAGCGTCCAATTAGAAATCTCTAGAGCAATAGGTACAAGCTGCCGCTCTTTCGCCTGGCTGAGAGATGGAACACTCCATCAAACAGCTGCCTTATATTTCTGACAGAAAAGTGCCTGACCTAACCAGAGGCTCTGCTTTCACTCAGATTAATAAATTGACTCGTCTCTCTGTTCCATTTTTTCTTGCAAGTAAACGGTTCTTTTTCGTGTTTTTTTTTTTATGAGCAGAAGCTATGGACCATTGACCTGCAACACTGATAGTGGTGTGTGTGTCTACTTTTCACTTTGGCCTTGACCTTTCTGGTCTTATGTGTATGAACCTAAATTCCCTTGGTTACATTCTGTTTTGTAATTTGTAATCTTGTTGAGAATTACCCAAGGATGATCTTTTTTTCTTTGTTGTCATGTCCCGTTACAAGTTAAGCAGACACTCGTTTAGTACACAACTCATTGAGAATATTTTGGTACTTGTTTAAGCCTGTTCAAGTACATAATTGGCTGAACTATGTCGGGGTCAGTAGTTTGGTGAGTTACCAGGAGTATGTGTGTCAGAGATTTCCGATCACAGCAACTATGTTTCTGCTAAGGAGGAAATCTCCACTTCATCTTTTCAGGAATTGTCAGGCACCTTAGAGCACCTAACAATTCCAAAGTGCTAAAGCCGTGGTGTCAAGGATTGAATTTGTCCTACTAATCCTACCTGACATTTGACTACATGTTGGGCTAGATGTTCGTAACTTTCTGGGGAAAAATCCTACAGATGTATACCGAAAAATACATTTCTTTTATTGTCCCAGTAACTTAGTAATATTATATCTGCACAGTTTGAGGTTGGAAGAAACCTGTCACAGGCCTTCAGTCTCACAACTTTTTAAACCAAATTGTACACGTCCATCAGCCTATGTTGCAATTTGTGTCAAATGATGATTAGTAAAAGTTGTTATAGTAAAAAGGTAAAGTAAGGTATTTGGGGAGGAATAAACTGCAGCAGTGTAATAGTTCCTGGATGTTATTGTTGAATGAGGAAAACCTGTCATCTCAATCACAAAGTCGGATAACTTTTAGGTCCTCTTCATACCTAGAAATTGTTCATTAGCGCAGTGTGACCTAATGCATTTGAAACTTGATGGCTACATTCTGGTTTGTTCTTAGTCCTGAGTGTTGCCAAGTTTCCACAAGCAAATATGGTATTAATTTACAATATACAAATAAATGCATCCAACATTTTCTTTGGCTTCAAAAGACAACCATCCAGCATGTGTGTCTGTTTTTCTGTGTGTCTGTTAAGCAATTATTGTGTTTCATGGTTCCTCTAATTCCCTCTTTACCTTGGACGTTGTTGTCTTTATTTGATTGGATGATGTGTAATACGAGTCCCCTCATCTGATTTGATGCCACTGTGGGGATATCTGGTTTCAGCCAATTGTAGCCACCTCCGGGGGTTTAGGGGGCAGGCGGATATGTTGGCATGGATACGGGGAGAGGAAACTTAGTTAGCAGCTGATTAGATTATGTTGAAGTGCTGATGGGAAGAGGGACAAGAAGGACCGAGAGAGCAAAAGAAATAAAACAGGCAGGAGAGAAACCCGAGACCACAATATCAATTAGAGGAAAATCTTGCTGTATTATGTGTGTGCACAAATGTGACGAGGGTGAACATAGGTCCACACTGAATTTGTGTGTTCCCGAGGAGGCAGCAGTTTCCATTGTCTTAATGTGAGTGTGTACACACTTGTATTATTTTATTGGTGTAACTGAACAGCTGTCTATTCTAAATGAATGCAATTATGCTATCAACAATTGACTCGCGCTGTTTTGTGTCTCTGCTTTCATCAGACTGAGATTGCCAAGAGACTAAACACCATCTGTGCACAAGTCATTCCCTTCCTCTCACAGGAGGTAAGTATGTGTGTGACTTTGAGCCAAAGGCTGCATTTTGTTTACCCTTTATGCTTACTGGTTGTTTTTTCTAGCCTTACTTGACATCACTCTGGGTGTTTTACAGCACCAGCAGCAAGTGGTTCAAGCTGTGGAACGAGCTAAACAGGTGACCATGGCCGAGCTTAATGCTGTCATCGGAGTACGTGGACTGCCAGGTCTTCCACCTACCGTGTGTATTCTTCTTATTTCTCTTTACAAATGCAAACTGTCTGATTGTTGATGTACTTATTATATTGATAATTGTGTAGTATGTAGTGCAGATCTTTGATGAAATAGTTTTTGTCTTCCATTGGTTTTTCATTGGCTGCTTTGAGAGCTTTGAGGGTTCCAGCCTTTTTTCCCCCAGTGTTGCGAAGTACAGTTTACTGCTTCATTTTATGAGAAAATTAAATATGTCACGTCATAGAAGAAAAACAATATTGTCTTGCACACATACACAATATGTATGGCTCAAGGGAATTTATGTAAGGCATCAGCACCACTATCCGTGCTTTTATTTCTGCCTCTGTTGGAGGTTAAACATGTGCTAAATTTGAATTAACTTGACATTGAGCTAGATACAATTATGATGGTGATATTGATAATAGTTGTAATGCTTATAGGCTACATTTCTGGGCACTCTTTCTGTTGTTGAAAAATGTAACCTAAGTTGTCAAAGAAAAGTCTAAATGTATGAATATAAACTACTTTTATGAATTAACTGTTATTCAACCAGACATAGTTTTGACATTTGAATAGTTCAGAAAATTATCTGAAGAGTTTGTGACCAAATTGCTCAGAAACACAAGGCAAAATGTAGGATGTGACTTTGCTGACTATGCTGTTGATGAATTGATGATTGAAAGGAATAATTTATTATTTATCCTTCTTACTAAAGTAATTATAAGTGTTGGACCATATCTGCTGCTGGGAGAACTTGGAATACTGCAGTCATGAAGTGCTCATTCAAAAGGTTTTTGTGTCTGAATAGTAATGCCAGTTTTGGATGGTCAAAGGTCACACTTACCCCAGACTTGGCTATTCTAATTTTTTTTTTTGGGGGGGGGGGGGGGTTAAAAAAAAGAAAAAGAAATGCTCTTAACGTGCTGTCGCATCACACTTTTATCTCATTCTGGGCCAGAAGTGTGCAAAAGTGGGACGGTTTTTAGTCATGTTAGAAAGTATTTTTCTGGAGAGAGTTCTGAAATATCACCAAGCTATACTAAAGATCACAATAATTGGATCTTAATCATGTGTTTCACGTGAAAGGTTAATTTGAACTGTAATAGCTAGTAAAATAAATTTTTCCCCAAAAATATTTTTTTATGATAATGATCAAATGAAGAATATAAAACATAAGAGGGACAGGCCATTGAGTGGGAAAAGGACAAATGGAGGAACATTTACTCTAAAGACTAGTTCTTAAAATTGTGCGATGTAGATATATTATCCAAAACAACAACAAATCTTTCTGCTACTCAAGGATGTGTCTGTTTAATGATTTTATTTATTTAATGGTGTTTGTTTTTTCCTTTTGTATTTTTTTTCTCTCAGTGTTAGAAAAGCCATGAGGGGGTAAACTAGCTGGAGGAGGAATTCTAGATTGAGGGAATAATGGGAAGGGGGTAGGGTGTAGCGTTAGTTTAGCTGAGAGTAGACGGTGGGATCAGCGGGTAGCTGGTTTGATGTGGGTTGGGTTGTTAGTTGGCGTGGGCTGATGGGGGTCTCTGTGTGTGTGATGGAGTGAGAGGTGGATTTGGCAGTTGCTGTTTGAGTCTTAATTGCAGGGTTTTAGTGTTTGTAAAAAAAAAGGAAAAAAAGATGGGGTGGGGGGATCAGGCGGTTGGCCTTAGACTCCCCCTCCCTTTCCATCTCTTCTCGTCTCCCACGCCAGTCTGTCATTCACCCCGTTTGTGAGTTAAATGAGTGTAATGAAGCATGTTGCTCCTATCTCTGCTCACATACACGCACACACTAACACTTTATTCTACCCGACCAGCTCACACTAACATCCCATGACAAACCGGGCTCCCCTTGTTTCCATCAGTGCTTCCCCTTCATTTACTCCCATCTGGGGGTGCTGTTTGTGTATCCATGTGTGTGAATGTTTTTGTATCTGTTTTTGCATGCGTTTGTGTGTAGCAGAGCATGCATATCTGTTATAGTCGGAAAACAACAGGCAGGGTGATGATGGCTGGGTGAGGATGTGTGCTCCTGCCTTGTTTATCTAGACTCTGTGAATGCGTGTTAGTGTGATCAAGTGTGATGTGTGGGTGTTTTTCTGTGTGGTTGCTTGATATGTGAGCCAACTCTGTACATTCTGTGTGTTAGAAGCAGACATGTAGGTCGGGGCTAAAAGACTGTTTTGTTGTTTTTGCTTTCATTCATCGGGATGGATGTTGGAAGTAAGGGATGGATGGAGAGAAAAAAAAAGAAGGCGGGAGCTTAGGAGTTAGTCAATTAGGTGAGATAAAAGTCGGTTTGACCTTCAGCACTCCTTCTACCCCTGCTGAGTTGCCTCCTGTGCCCCCCTTCTCCTCCTCCCTCCCTCCTTCCACCTCCCCTCCTTGCGGCGAATCAGTGAGCTTGGATTCCCGCGGCTGCTGTCTGAGGAGGCAATAATGATGTTTTGGAACACAAAGGCATTTCACGCTCAGACGAGCGCCTGATTTGGTGTGAAAGAGAGACCAAGGCTGCGAGCCAAACTTGCCCTCCCTCCTTCTCTTTCTGACCCTCTTCTCTCCTTCTCTCCTCTCTTCTCAGCCGCCTAGCTTCCTCACAAGACCTGACAGTGCGAGCAGCAGCTGGGGCTCTCGACTCTCTCCCCTCCTGCTCCTTCTCTGTCATTCCTTCTTTCCCTCCTTGTCCCCCTCCTCCACATCCCCAGGCTTTGGGCTGTGATCCCAGCTGTCAGTATTGTTCAGTGTTTGACCTCAGAGGGTGGAGAATGTGTGTATGTGATAGACGGTGTGTTGGGGGAGAGGATGTGTTCACCCTCTCATACATAGCGGCAGCTTGCTGAGGTGGTGTAAACCCCAAACACTAAAGAGACTATCCCAGCTGTTGAAGGCTTCAGTAGGACCTGAAGTTGCTATTGATTAAGTTAGAGTGCTATTGATTTTCGCATATTGGGGATGGCTAATTCACAGACCCTCTTGTTTTGTACATTGACGGTAGCTTTGATACATCATTTCGACAGCAACTAGACAAACTATATTAAAAGAACTTAATGAAAACTACTAATGTAACAGACAGTTGACAGTGTATGGATATTCCTTTAGTCAACACAAACAGTTTTGCATAATCATTGATTTTTTTTACATAAGCAATGTAAAGGAAATATACAAAGCTAATTTCTCCTATGTTTCCCCTTTTGACGGTTAACTGAAGTTTTCTTGATTACATGCTCTGTAGCATTTACTTCCACTGCTATAGTTTAGAGGCATAATATCTAGAGATTATTAGTTTATTGCTATCATATGTATGACTAATAATCATCAATGAAATGTATTCCCTGTAAAAGGTTTACAGTATGACTGTGGGAATATTTTCCCCAGTTAATCAACTGTTTCTCTTCTTGTTTTTCTTACAGCAGCAGCATCTATCCCATAACCACGGTGGTGCCCCAGTTCCCCTCACCCCTCATCCTGCTGGCCTCCACCCTTCTCAGCTAGGTGGTTCGGCTGGACTTTTGGCTTTGTCAGGAGCACTTGGTGCTGTTCCTCCCCATCTGGCAGGAAAAGATGGTGATAAAAAATCTCACTTATCTGGGCCAGACTCGCACTCTGCAGGACCTGAGCACCTCAGGGGTGAGGACATTCACAGAAACACCACCTGCAATACATAACAGAATTCTTAAGTTTGTTTAATAACCAAATTAGGTAATTAAGGATGGATTGTATGTTGCAATGCAGATTGTCTTGTCTTTTGGCAGACAAATTGAACTAATTTTCTTTCCTCTCTTTTTGTTTTGCTTAACATCCTACCCTGTAACCTCAACCACATGTGTGTTTTTCCAAATGGCAACAGAGCGAGAGCCTGGCACAGTAAGTACTTCCCCTTTCTACAGCAAAGCATACTGTTTTGACTAACGACTGTTTATTTTCATATTTAACTCTAAGGGTACAGTTTGGTTTGGGGGATTTGGCTGTGTTATTACATTTAGTATGATTACAATCTGTCGTCTTTGTGCTGTTCATACATATCTGTGGGTCGGTAAAGTCCTCTTAAACTCAGTTGGGCACACATTAAAATAGGCTGCTTGAAGTAATTTGCATTCACTTCACATTGAGCAGTGCCATGTAACTGACTATTTGAACAAGGCAACACCATTTAAATATTCATTTTTGTATTCTCTTTGATAAAAGCATCCAAACAGTCACAACAGTTAGGGTATATTTGAGACATGATACAGGACTACAGTAGGCTGATGGCTTTTTTCCATTTATATGGTAGTACTTTTGTCAT